AAATTTTGAAGTTAAAAATAATAAATTTTGTTGTTTAAATACCATCATTTGCAGTTCTAAAAGATGTTTCTGCAATCACTTGTTCATATGTGGGTGGAATATCAGATAAATTTTCTGAATAATGTTCCTCTTGATTAGAGGCAAATCTTCCAGAATTAGTTCTTGATAAGAGATAAGACATAATAATATCAATTAATAATAAGATATAAAAAGTTTGTAAAAACATGTAAATCTTGAAAATTTTGTAAAAATTTTGTAAAAAAATTTAGATTTGTATGGTTTGAAAGTAGTATTTTTTATAACAAATCATGCTTGTTATCAGTAGATCATAATCAAAACATATTAGGGTATTGTTTGTCGCTTCAAATTTAGGTTGAATGAAAAGATTGGATGAGCGTATTTGGTTGCATCTGACTGCATGTGAAACCAGAAATAACACGTTATCACACATGATTATCAGATAACAATATCAATTAACTAAATCAAGACTCATTCTATTGGATTATTTTTATTTGTTTTTCTTTGTTCATCAGATAAGAATAACACTAAATTTAAACTCATTCTTAGTTAAAACATCGTATGATTCATTAGTAATTATGATTAGTAATCTAAATCATCCGATTGGTGTACGTTGAGTTTTGATTTTCATTTATCCGGTCTGTATTTTTTGATAAAATGCCTTGAGAATTCTGACGAATTCTCTAAAAAATACAACAAAATGTCAAACTATTACAAATTTCCATCTAATCAACAAGAAGTTTTCGAGACTCTGTATGAGAGTGAGGCAAGTACTTAGTAGTATTTCGCTGAAGATGTATTGTCTTGATATATGAATAAGTGACTAGTAATGATGATATTTTTAATGTTTATGCTAGTAATGAGTATGAAATTATTTGCTTAGATGTTGTTGTGTCTAACATTTTTATTGTATTTTAGGAAGAGGAGAACTGTTCTCAAAACTCACAAAATCCAAAACACAAACGAGAAGAGGATGATTCAATCGACTTTAAATCACGAGAAATGAAAATATTTCAAACAACAAGAAAGGTTTACAAGAAGTTAAAAGGTTATTCAGATGTTGACAAGAACAATTCAGAGACGCAATATTTGTGGTCAGAATACTATCATGTGTTTGGAAAATTAAATCCACTAAGTGAGTTTGATCGTTCTTGTATGGGTAGAATCTTGAAACCCAAGAAGAAAATAAAGTTGAAACACGTGAAAAAAGTTGTTCAAGATGATTTGAATGAAGGGGTTATTGGTAAAAACGATATTAGATTTGTTGCGGGAAATGCTGGAATTACCAGATCCGCGTTTAAATATTGCAGGCGCAAGCAGATTTTTGTTCTAGAGGTTCTTAAGACTATAGACGATGTAATTGTACTCTATAAACCTTTCAAATATAATAAAGATGCCTTTTTTAACGTAAAATTTATTATCAATACTTGTACAACTCAAATGTAAGTTGTTCTTTTAATGCAGAAAGACTTATTTAGGATGGTTCCTAAATAAGTCATAGTGGAATAAGTTATTTTTATTTAACTCGGGTCAAACAGGTCAAAACAAAATTAGCTTTGAATTTAAATTAATTCGCCCAGAAATAGTAATAAATATATATGCAGCATAAATTATACTGCAAGTGCCAAATATAGCATTATTAAATATATATATAGCCTAGCACTACTGCTACGTTTTAGAACTCTATTAGCAATTCAGAAGAAATATCTAAAATTCATTTTTATTTATTGGTCTAAGTCATAAGTTAAATAGATCTTGCTAAAAAGTTTTATTTGTTAAACTAAATATCTTAACTTTTTAGAGTTATATACATATATATGTATGTATATACAGTACGTACTAATTAAAAAATTTATATTTTACAAATTAACACATTGAAACTTTAATCGATATTTCATTTATTTTTTTCCTATCGCTACATAGTGCTCTCCATTGAGCTGACTCAAATAGGCTCAAAGAAATTTTAGTCCGGCTTGTTTTTGGCTTGAAAGGCTCGTGAGCTTTAGTACAAATCACGTGACTATTTATCACATGACTTTCATGTGACTTTCACGTGATTTTTTGTCGAATCATAATATTTTGTCACGTGAAAGTCACGTGATAAATATCACATAATCTGTACTAAGGCTTGCGAGCCTTTCAAGCCAAAAACGAGCCAGACCAAAATTTCTATGAGCCTATTTGAGCTGGCTCAATAGAGAGCACTATCGCTACATATAATATTTTTTTAAAATCAATGTGTTATTACACTTGATCTTTAACCTTTGTGTAGTAAGTTACTTCCTTTTAGTGTAGATGCAATTTGTTCAATTTTTAATGATAATTCAAAGTATTTGTATTATTAACAAATAATAATAGGCCAATGTTATATTTCTATAAATACTGCAAGAATGAAAATTTTTCACAAAAAGCTTTGATTTATAATATGTACATGTATAAATATTGCCTTTTTGTATATTTATACCTGAGTTAATACCAAACCTTTTATCTAAATAATGATCAATCAAGTCAACAAGTTTGTATATAGGGTTAGGTTATATAAATTTACATTACATAATTTTATAATTTATGTAAATTGGATTTATGTAATTTTTATATCATTATGACAAAAATATATGAAATTAAAATTATATAAATTCCAAATTATATAATTATAGTAATTTACTAACCTATTCAAAAATATAAAAAGTTTTAGAGCTGATTTAAGAAACAAGATTAATTCTACAAATTGAGAATTAAGACTTGTTCTTTTTTTAGTAATAGTGAGGCCCACAAATGAAAATAGGTGTTCGGACGGTACTGACGTTGCTGGAATTGATAAATACTTGCGAGCAAGTTTTGCAAGTATTAGGTAGTCAACTTTTTGTGAAGCCTACTATTGAAGTATATCTGTATTGCTTGGAGCTCTTGGTAATGATAAATATGAATTAAATTCACGGTTAGTAGCATTATTATTTTTTTCTTGACTTAAATCCTCTTAAGAACAAGTTGTTACTAAAATAGAAAAAATATCTTTTTCAATCATTTGATTACTAGATAGTTTGATTTACTATATCTGATAAATTATTATAATAATTAGAAGCCAACTCTAAATAATCAATATATGCTTCCATGATAGTTTGATTTCTCTCACTTTTTGAAAATATTTGCATATCTTTGATACGTGGATCAAGAAAGGCAGCAAATTTAATTGGTTTTGTTGGCTCTAAGAATTGTATCTGAATTGAGTTAAAAAGAGAACTTTTAAAATTTTAAATATTAATATTATTTACTATTGTATATTCAAGTCTTGTTTTAATAAAATTAATTGCGAACCATACTTGCAAAAGTGTTGGATACCGTGAACCAGATAATTTTTTTAAAATAACTTCATATGGATGCAATAGCTTAACTAAGTCAGTTATATTTTTTCAATCATTTCACAATAACTCTTTTTCTTCATAGCTCCTTAGTGAATTATTATTATTAGTCTTAACTAAAAATAATTTATATCTATACAAAGCCAGTTTAAGAATAGTTAGCCATTTTAACAAATAAAATGTTGAGTTTCATTGTGTTGAAATATCACAAACTACAGAAAGAAGTTTATCCCAATTATCTATCTCTATTTGAGCTTCTAAAAGAAATTGTTTTTGTTTTGGGCTTCTACTAAAATGTGATACAATATTTTTGCATTTTTTTATTAAATTCATAATTTTAGAACATTTCTTTAATGCATCATTAATTGCAAGTTGCAATGTATAACCAAAACAAAAAATTTTAAACATATTATATTTTCGCTCTAATTTTTCTAAACACAATTTGATATTAGTTCGATTATTGACTATATCACATATAGTTATGTTTTTAAGAAGAAGTTTATTCAAAATCTCAAGAATTTTATTTAAAAGGTGATCAGATATATAAGGATACAGGAGGTATGAAATATTGCCGACTATTTTTTTTAATTAAAAATTTTCATTAATCCAATGGAGTGTTAAGCCAATATAAGAATCACCATTATCCGAAGTCCACATATCAGTTATAAATAAAATATGACTAATCTCAGCACTATTAAGTGCATACTCATGAATATTTTGTAAGATTTTATTTTCGGCATTAATAAGAATTTTCTTTAAATGATCTATACTAAATATATTAGCTTGAACATCAAGCCCTTCAATTATTCTTTTAAATGCCTGGGATTGAAGAACTGAAAATGGTTGAAGGTCCTCGACAATAAAAGCAGCAATATTATTATTAAGTTTCTTCTGTTTAGAGTTGTTAAATGCATATTTTTTTATTTTGCTAAATGCTTATATTATCATTAATTGAGAAGACTCTGTTGTTATATTAAATTCATAATTAATATTATTCTTCATTACAACTTTTACTCGATCCCTTCCACCATGGCTTTTGAAATATAATACTTGTTTCTTAAATATCGCCATAAATTTAATGTAGAACCATCTTTCTGATATTTTATATTTGAAGTGGCGACAAATCTAAAACTTTATATCATGAATTATTTTTGAGTTATAAAAAACTTATACTGGACTGTCACCAGGTTTTTTAGTTTTTTTTTTTTTCTTAACTAAAGAATTGCTAGTTTGTGAAAATATAAAAGTGAAGGCCTGTAGTGAAGCTTTATTATTAGCTAAACTCTCTATACTATCCAAATTAGATATTTCTATCCTAGTATCTTTATATTTTAATATATTTAATATAACATCTTCATACTTTAATATATCTTCATGCTCTAATTCATCTAATTCATCATCTTCACACTCTAATTCACCTGATTCAATATCTTCATGCTCTAATTTATTTAATTCAATATCTTCATGCTCTAATTTATCTAATTCATCATCTTCATACTTTAATACCAAATCATCTAAATATCCTTCACTTATTCTAATTTGAAATTCAGTTTTTATTGGCTCTTGATAATTGAAATATTTTTTAATACTATAATATTAATTTATATAAATGTGTGACAATATTATAACAAATTTTTATAAAGATATGATACAATATACAAGTTTTAGCAAATGACTGTAATATAAAGTTAAAGAATCACTAAAGCAATAAATAACTATATTACTTAACTTTATACAGTTTTATATTTAAATTAAATATTCTTAATGATACTCATGTCCAATATTTATTGTTACAGTTTTATATGGTTGTTAAGAGATTTGTGTGTTTTAATTAATTGGTAGTTAATCTATAAAACAAAAAAGCCTTCAACCTGGTGACTGGTTAATATTTAATGGTAAAATTTTTATTCAAATTTCACTAACTTGCATAAGTTTAAAAGTTGCACCAACTTTAATAGCAATTTGTAAGTAAAAATTTGGACAATCAAATCTTTTGTAATAATACTTACAACTAAACATTGTTCTATATAGAGTTTGCACCGGCACTTGGTAAGGATTTGGATCATATGTAAGCAATCAAATCTTTTGTAGTAATACTTATTAACTAAACAAAATTTTATATAAAGTTTGTACTGATCCTTGGTTAGGGATCATATGTTATGGTAATACTTACAAACTAAACAAAATTCTAAATAAAGTTTGTATCAATCTTTGGTAAAGGTTTGAATTATATATATACAAAAAAATTTGGACAATCAAATCTTTATGGTAATACTTACTAGCTAAATATAATTCTATATAAGGTTTGCACTGGTACTTAGTAAGATTGGATAATATATATATGAGTAACTCATGAACATAGGTAAAAAAAAATTTGGGAAATTGAATCTTTTATAGTAATGCTTACTAACTTTATTATTTTTATTATGATGCCAATAAAGAATTGGGTGTTTAAATCATTTTTAATTAAATTTATTTAAAGTTTGTATAAATTTTTATGTAAAAGTTGTTACACTAATGATAACTAAAAAATTTTTGATTTTCTATATGACATATTGACCCAGGTCTTGACTTGAGTTGATATCCAACCCATAATTATTAACCTGGGTCACTAGATTTTGACCCGGGTAAGAGCTCTAGTCTAGACTCTTTTGTAGTAACATGACATGGTATATAGAAAATAACCAATTAAAATTTATAAATTTAGATCAGTTTGATATCAAAACAAAACACATGTACAAGAAGAAAAAAAAAAAAAAAACTCAAAAATTGATGTTTAAATTGGCCTTTAAGTACTAACAAAAAATGTCAAAAATGTAATTATATATATAATATATAAAGCTAATAACCCTAATTACAAATTCTAATACAAATCCAAACTCTAAACTAAAGCAAAAAATACACCATATCACATAATAGTTACATTACTACAAAAGTATCTAGACCTCTAGTAGAGCCATGTTTATAGTTGATTAAAATTTTTTTAATTGATTAGTTGTTATTAGAGTGTTCAAAATTATATGATATTGTTACTATACTATAGCTTTCTTGGTTATATTATAGCAAGGTAACAAAATTATCTGATGC